CCTTTTTTCCCGTCTCCCGCCCCCTCCCCTCCCGTCTCCCCCTTCTCCCGTACTCCCCTCGTCATCTAACCATCTCGGATTTACCGTAAGTGAAAAGCAGGGGTGGACATGTTTGTAGCTGGACGTTTTTAGATACAATTACCTAGTATATGAATTCGGCTTATTCGTCTTATAACGAGAAATAATTTACATGAAGACGAATTATCTAGGGTGATATTGTAGTTGCTTAACTCGAATTCTATCATGATTTCCTCCCATGAACATGTATATAGATGATGATGTCCTATTCGTTGCACTAGTAATATTTAATGTACGGTAAAGGCAAATAATTAGGAGAGTAAATGAGTGAAAAGATTATGTTACGTAACTTATAACCTTCGCAGCGCGATATAATTGAATCATAAGACCAAATATAAATTCTATTTAAATATAAATCACATTTAAATATCGGATGCGGATCGCCGTGACTTGGATGGTAAGTACCTGTGACCACGAGTCCGGCGATGACGACGTTCCAACTCGCGTTGCGCGCCGGTGGTATGGCTTCGCCCAGCCCGAGTCGTAGCATCTGTATACTGATCGCTGTCGTGATGAGTGAGCCGACGCAGAAGAACATGAACGCTGTAATCTGCAACATTTTCCTCACTATCAAACAGATGGAATCTGCAGATTTGTTTGTCACAATATTTTTTTTTTCAAAATCGCACGTTCCCATTGAGTTAGTTTAGGACGTTAACGATACAATATTTGATAAAGCTCTCAGTTTTAATAAAATTTCGTCATTTTACCCATGCATTCCTTATTTATATATATTTATACATTATATATAATTTATTTTCTTGAAGTGACCGTATTGAAACGAATGCAGCGCTAATACACTGCGTGCATATAGATCGACCTGGAGCTACTAGACATGTGTAAATAATAGCAGCAAGAATTGGCGAATAAGACTGCACACTCGTGCGCCTACACGGTCGCGTACATTTTAGCATGCATGTGTTGGTCAACAAATCACTGTAGGCCTTATATAATATAATAACGCTGATCGCGATGCCGCAATAGCACACAGCTCACGAGCTCACGCCGCGTTGTTATACAAACGACTGGTCGTACGCATGAGGCTAATTGCATGCCCTCCGCCGCAAGAGAAGCTTGGCGGATTTTATGATATTAAGCATATAAAGCCATTGATTTTCAGTTGCACTCTCGACAGCACGAAGCTGGACTGACAGGTTACAGCGCGATACGCACTGCAAACTGCGTAGGTTTATACAGACTCCTTATCGAATGGAATTCAGGTTAACTGCCGTTCAACAAACGTCTTCCTATTAAATTCAAACCTCCACACGATTGCTCATGGATACAGCACGCTTTGGTTGTGCGCCGAAAGATTTCGCCTTTTCATGCCATTCGTCTGCAACTATAACGACTGGATTTGACGACTTACTTTCGTGTGAAATAATGCTCGCACAGGCATTTACCCACCCATGAGTATTGAGTGAAAGTGTTCTTGGATGATACGATGACATGGATATAATAATTTTATAGACCCATGAGATGTCCACGCAGGGACAGTAAATAAAGCTGTGATATTAATCATATATACGAATGTTTGCGCCATCATGGCGGATCGACCTTCGTAATGCTTCTCTGCGCATCGCTGCCTTATAATAAATAACATCCTTCTTAAAGCACTATTAGGAAAACTATGGCACATTTTTAGTTACAGGGCTCGTTTACTTGTATAGCTTCTCAGTAACTATATGCGATCTCTTTTTGCTTGTGGTGGGGGGGTTGTCTGCGCGCGCGTTTTGTGTGTGTGCGGTGTGGTGATTGTGGTTTGTTGCTGCGTTGGTGTGCGGTTGCCGTATGTGGGGTGCATGGTAGCGCTGTGCTTGCTGCATGTGCGTGCATGTGTGGGTGCTTGCCGTATGCGTGCATGTGTGCGGTAGTGCTTGCCGCTTTGTGCGTGTGATGTGCGTGTTGCTTGCCCGTATGTGCGTGCGATGTGTGCATGTTGCCGTTATGCTGCGTGCTGTGTGCTGCTTGCCCGTGATGTGCGGCATCGTGCTGCGTGTGCTTGCCGTATCGCGGTGTATGTGGCTGGGGTGTTTGCCGTATGTGCGCGCCATGTTGTGCGTGTGATTGCCGTATTGTGGCGTGATTGGGTGCGTGTGCTTTGCCGGTATTCATTGTGCGGCATGAATGTGAGTGCTTGCCGTTATGTGCGTGGCCATGTGTCGGTAGTTGCTTGCCGCTTGGCGTGTGCTTGGCGTTGTGCGTGATGTGTGCGTGGCTTGCCCGTATGTGCGTGCATGTGTGCGTGCTGCTTGCCCGTTATATGCGCATCGTGTGCGCCACTGTTTGCCGTTGAGTCGTGGTTGCCCGTGGGTCGTGATCTCTTGCCCGTATGTGCGTGCATGTGTGCGTGTGCTTGCCCGTATGTGCGTGCATGTGTGCGTGTGCTTGCCCGTATGTGCGTGTGTAATTAATTATGACTGTTCACGCTATTTGCTTTACATTGCACGTACTGAGCACTGATGCTACTCACACTGCACGACGTCCGCTTCCTGGCACAGAGGAACCCCGTAATACCACTGACAGCAAACTGAAAAAGGTAGCAAATTAAGATCGATATACCCCCAAAATAAATGCGTCGTCTGAATCCCTGTGCACCTGACGTTGTCAGCGACAACGGTTGCCATCCGGTTGTTGCTACGAAGAGTGGGCTAATTACTCAATGAAATACGTCATCATGGAAGACAGATATGCATCGCGCGTAACATCTCAAAGAAGAAATACAATATATATAACACACGTGCGCGGGAAAATAGCTCACAAAACGCGATACATCAGAGCATGTGATATATATAGACAAATAATACCGCATGTAACGCCCACATTATATATATATATATTATAAGTTGTATAATCAAGGTAATATATATCAAGGGAATGAAGAACAATATCTAGTACTCGCTGGAAGGTACTATATTATGTAATATCAAGAGCTCATAATAGAGATTCTATTTCTCTATTATGAGCTCTTGGTAATATTGATGTGGCGGTGGCTGAAAATGGCAACGTTCCACATGAGTGATGATGACAAGGAGAGCTATCGATGTATTAGGCCTACGTAGTGAAACGCTGGACACATGTAATATTACTCCTTGGACGTAAGTATACATCCACACGACGTGTAACACTTACAAAAAGGCCGCTCCAGATAGGCGCGCCACTGTGCGCCGTCCACATCTTAATCTGCGAGACGGCCGTGACGCCGATGACGATATTCGCGATGCCCATGATCGTATGCAGCGAAGCTACCAAGTTAATAAAAGTTGTCACTCTCTTGTACATGGTACACGCCACGCACCGCGACGTCGTCTCGTCCGACTGGCGTGCGGTAGTCAGCTTGTAGCGACGTGGTATAGACGAGAAACGCTGCTGATGCTATATCGCTCCATTACGACGATGGCGGTAGTAGCGGCACCGCAACAACGCATATGCCGCTCTCTGTATGGGAAACACTTGGCAGACGCTAGCGTCTACGGGGAGTCTTCGTGTGCACGATTGATCCCTCCCACGAGCTGCACGTGAATGGAAGCTGATGAAGTGACGCGCGGGAGAGACGCGTGGCTCCGCTGTCGATACCTCAGGCGGGTCACATAATTGCGGCAGGATTCGTAATCCTTGCTGGCGCGGCTAATCTGTGCCTTTCCGCTACGTGTGGCGCTACTGCTACTGCTACTGCTACTGCTACTGCTTCTACCCCCGCTAATGCAGGTGTGACTGCTACTGCTACTACACCCGCCTCTGTTGCTGTGGCCGTTGCTACTACTATTACTACTACTGCTGCTAGTGCTACTGCTCCTGCTTCCGGTGCTGCTGCTGTGGCTGCAGGCACTCTTACCTGGCGACGATAATTAGAAACTTCGTTAGCGGGTTATGGGCTCGTCATGGTCGCGCTACAGACGCACATATTGATTGATCTCACTCTGGGGGATGTTTGCGTAGCCGCGTGCAGCCAGCCGTTCCCCCGATGGCAGCGCTTGCTCAGCCGGGCTACGGGGGCGACCTGGATCGCAATCAGAATATCTCATTGAGATTCGACGCTGCTCAGTAGAGAAGACGACCGACGTGCTTGCATGAGACATTCATCAGACCGCTGAGAGTCGTTGCTGCCTAAATTAGCGTCACCACATGTTTCGCACAAATGCGCAGATCCTTTCCTGTAAAATCAGGGAATTCGCACTCGCGAAAACGACGATATATGACTGATGGTTAGCAAGCTCTTTAAAATGTTCGCTTCTCTGGCTAATCGCTAATGACCCTTGCTGTAAACTCCGACTGTACACACTTCTCCTACTGCCTTATTCGTAGACGAAGCACTATAATGAATAATAAATCATTGTGACAATGAGCGTCATATGTATGCGGCTGAGCGCGACATCGACCATAATGGCATGTAACATCCCAAATGTCTAAATGACGGCTCAAATGCCACACGCTTATCGACGTGCTTCACTCACACGCATACACACACACACACACACACACACACACACACACACACACACACACACACACACA